CTCTCCTTCAAGAACACTCAATTATTGGTACTAAACACTTAGTCCAATGGTTCATCCCCTTTTGAGCACTAGACTCAAAATCATTAGTCTACTTTAAGGAACGAACTAAGATAAACGAGAGTTTTATATGTCTATTTACGATCGATCATCATGTTCGGACCGAGGTTCGGGGTTGGAGTATGACCGAGTATGGCCGGGTGTAGCTGAGCCAATAATCGGATTGGACGACACAAGTCTAGGTCAGCCGAGCTGATTAGGCGCAGTATCTGTTTGGCCGAGCCTGTCCAAGCACAAGGTCGGGCCCATGGCCAGGTTGCACGAGCGCAGGGCCGGGTCCATGGCCGAGTCAGACCAGGCACTGAATTGGGTACTGGCCGGAACTAATGGGCACAGGAGCTGGCATAAGTGTCGGGCGCAGTGGTTGGCACAAGTGTCGGGCACAGTGGCTGGCCCATGGCCGAGCACGGGGCTGGGCTTGTGGCGGGACTGATCGACACAGGACTAGTCCACAGTCGGGCGCAGGGCCTACCTCGTACGGCTGGCATAAGGCCTGGACTACGTCCAAACGGTAGGGCTCAGTCTATGGTCTACCCCGATTCACCGCAATGATCCATGACTAATTTGCAATTGGTCTATGTTTGAGCATCAACGATCCATGGTTAACCCTCAGTTGTCATGTAGTCGCGTGGAATCAATCCACAACCGACGCATTGCCACATGGAATCTGTCCATGGTCGCCTACGACCGATCCATGGCCAAGCGAAATCACCCGCGACTGACGCATGCCCGTGCGGCATCAATCCATGACTGTTCGTCAATTGACTCGGTACATGATCGTCCCACGGCCGACCCTTATGGTTGAGCGGTCGATCCATGGTTGAATCACTCTGATCGACTTGCATGATTGGGGAGTCGTTTCACTGCCAATTCTTGGGCCGTTCTATGGCCGATCCTTCGATCGGACCATGACCGATCCCTTAGTTGCCCGTTCCAACCAAACCGATTGGTCTATGACCGACCCTCGGATTGGTTCGTGTACCGATTCCTTGATCATTTTCCTTGGTCGATTCGGGGGTCCGAACTGTGGATGTCACAAATGAATAGGCAGTTCAAGAGGAACGACCGTGATCTAGAACAAACTAACGACCCTAAAGTACCTGTCTTGAGGAGGTCTACACATGTGAGAAAGCCAACATTAATTTTTTATCCATAAGCTAATATTGTTCTGAGCCATATCTTATATATAGATTCGAGAGAATCGGAGACTTGTGATGAGGCAAAGAAAGACACATCTCACATGTAGTGAGAGCATGCTATGAAAGGCGACATGAGCTCATTACTTCAAAACAAGACTTGGGAGTTGACCGAATTGCCCACGGGTAAAAATGCTTTGTTAAATAAGTGGCTTTAAATTATAAAAAAAATAAAGTAGATGGTAGTATCAGATACAAGGACTACTCCGAGATATTTTCACCAATAGTAAAAATGACATCAAACAGAGTTTTACTGAGTATAATTACAGTCGAGGATCTTCAGATTGAGCAATTGGATGTGAAAACGGTGTTTTTGCATGGGGACCTAGATGAAGAATTATACATAGTGCAACCTAAATGTTTTGAGGTTAAAGGTAAAGAGCACATGGTATGTTGCTTGAAGAAAAACTAATATGGCTTGAAGCAAGCTCCGTGGCAATGGTACTTAAAGTTTGATGGTTTCATTGAAGAAAAAGTATTTGCACACTGTGAAGCTTAGTCATTGTGTTTATTTTTGCAAGTATAGTGATGGTGATAACGTATATCTCTATTTATATGTGGATGACATGCTGGTGCCTTAAAGAAGATGTTGGCATCGCAATTTGCTATGAAAGACTTGTGAGAGGCCAAGATTATCTTAGGCATGAAAATCATCAAAAATAGGAAAAATAAGAAATTATGGTTGTCCCAGAAAGACTATGTGAACAAGGTGTTAAAAGGATTTAACATGGATAAGGCAAAACCGGTTGCGACTCCTCTAGCGAGTCCAAGTACTCAGGCTTTGAAAGATGAGATGACGGCAGTCCTATATACATCAGCAATGGGAAGAGTTTGATATATGCCATGGTGAGCACGAGACCAAATATTGCACAGGTAGCGGGAGTGGTGATTCGATATTTGCAGAACCCGAGCAAAGAGCATTGGAATGTAGCAAAATGGATATTGAGATATCTAGTAGGTATATCAAAATACTCTCTTTGTTATGGAGGTACATCTCTAGAGTTGTAGGGTTATGTGGATGCAGATCACTCGGGTGATCAAGATAGTGGTAAGAGTACCACTGGATATGTCTTTACAGTTACATGTACAATAGTGAGTTGAGTATCTCAACTACATAAAGTAGTGGCTCTATGTGGTTAATCTTCACCGAAAATCGTTGACGTGGTGGTTTAGTCATTGCCTGCCGTCTTACGTGGCACACCGCTAAGTCAGTGACTTTTGGTGAAATTGACCGGATGGATTATATTGGAATTTCGCATAAAATTTTATGACTAAATTGACAAAATTATAAAGTTTAGTAATGAATTGGTATGCGTATAATAAGTTTATGTCTGATTGGACAATTTCCCTGATGGATGTAGGATGCTCTTATCCGTTTGCTACTCTTAGGGTTTAGGGTTTGTGGAGCTACCATGCCACCATGTGGGGTAAAGGAATCTCTTGCCAAGGCGAGAGAGCTTTTATTCGCTCTTACTTCGAAAAGTAATAACCGATAGTTTGATATAAATTGCTAAATGTGTAATTTGATCCCTGAATTTTTAATTTTTTTAATGTAGTTCTTAAAATTTTTTAAACATTTTCTTATAATCTAGGGACTACATTGAATATTTACCAATAGTTTAGAGATCACATTAAACAAATTAAAAATCTATGGATGATATTGAGCATTGGACCGATGCCTGGAGACCACATTACACGTTGGATCAAAGTTTGAGTACCATTTGTGTTATTATCGCTTGATAATTCTACAAGCATACTAGTCATGGGATTGTATTATGTATAAGTGGTTTCTAGGCTTTAGCATGACTCTTTGATAATTTAAAGTGTAAATTTGCATATTGAGAATGAGATATGCAAAGTGTCGCAACTTTGATAAGAAAGGAATTATGATGTGTTTATTTCACGAAAAATGAATTATTTGAAAATCGTTTTCGTAATAATATTGTTTGTATCGCTTAGAAAAATTAATTGAATGGAAATGTTTTCATTATTGTTGATACCTAAATTTGTGCCCAGTCAATTAAAGTTTTATTTTTTTGGTCGAAACATTTAAAGTTTAATTGCATAGAAAATTAGGGATTAATTTTTAACCCTTAAACAAAAGTATTTTCATTAAAATTGCATGGCATATAAACATTAGGTACATTTGCATTAAAATGTTCTATTAGAACATATTTTTCTTGTACATTAAATTTTTTTTAAAAAGATTTAATTAATTAGATTTCTTTTTTTAAAAAATAATAATTAAAAAATTCAGGCCGCCTCGAGTGGACCGGGTCAGCCCGGCCCGACCCTATTTCCTTTTTCCCTTTCTTTTTCTCACGCGAGTTGGCCCAGTGCCTATTCCTTCCGGCCTGGCCCGCACTGTTCATTTTCCCCTTCCACCGTTTCTCCGCAGAGAGAAGACGGAGCGAGAGGAAAGGAACGCCGGTGCAGGGGAAGGACTGAACAGTGATAGCGGCGGAGGTGCAGAGGGAAGCAGATCCGGTCGGCGACCGGCCGGCCACGGCAGGGCTGGTCGGGAGTGACCGACCGGCCACAAAAGGGCCATGAGGCCGCGTAAACCAGGCGAGTTCCAGAGGGAGAGAGAGGATGAGAGATGAGAGATCGAGAGAGTTTCTTACCCGACCAGTCACCTCCATGCTCGCCGTCCGACGACCTCCTGCCGGCGCCCTCCCTCGCATTTCCTCTCTCCCGATTCCCACGTCTTCGGTGAGTTTCTTGTTGGCTCGAGCCCCTTTTCCCGAGGATCTCGGCTCGGAGGCCTCGCGGGGCGGTTGGCCATAGCTCGATTCATCTCGAGCTCGCCCACTAAGCCTCCGTCTCCGAGCCGGGTAAGGATTTTAACAGTCAAAATTCATTCCCGTGAACTCCGGCTGCCTGGCGCCATTTTGGCCGAACCGTGAAGTCAAGTGTCGGTCTCTTTAAGTCCACATGCTTGTTGGGTTTGAGCTGGCTTTTGTGTTTGATTTCAGTTGTTTCTTGATGATTCCCTTTGAGCCCAGACTTGAGTTCGGGTTCCAAAAAAAAGGGTCAATATCTTCCTCTCAAGAACTCACCTTCCTCAGTATGTCACTCAATTCTTTCAACGGAGGGCTACCGTTTGACATGGGAAAATGAGAGCTATAAACAGCATCGATCTTTCTCAGAACCGACTTACCGGCACCATAACGAGGTCCATCCACGAGTTGAACAGCCTTGCTCCTCTCAACTTGTCTAGGAACTCGTTTTAAGGATCGATACTGCGATTGATCGGCGACCTTAAAGGGTTGGATTTCCTCGACCTCTCCTACAATGAGTTATTAGGGGCGATACCCGAGTCCATGGAAGGACTTACATATTGCAAACTTTGAACTTGTCCTTTAAAAGAATGCTATTACCTAGAGGTCAACCTGGAGAACCCCCTAAATCACGTCTGATTCCGTGGGTGGCCCCGTTCTTTAGTGTTTGCACATATGCATCTATTTTCTCTGTGAGGCTACGAATGGACCTTTGACTAAAGCTCCATACGCATTCTTTTAAATATCAGATATTTTCAACCTATAATATCTCTGAATTCTGGATCATGTAGTTTGTTGTGTTCCCTTCACATTGGAAAGCAACCTATTGATTTTTCCACGGAGACACCATTTGGGTCATTGTTTGGTCATTTAAGACAATAATTAGTTAGGTGTTGGGATGAATACTAAGAATAGGTCCTAATTAGCAAAGTGTCTATTGATGCAATCAAAAGACACTATGTTCACCATGGAGAAGTTCATCTCTTTAGCATTTCATCTTTTGCTCGCTTCCCTAGTGATGTTTCAGCCTGCCATTTGCTCCAGCAACTTCACTGATCAAGATGCGCTCCTCCGCTTCCAATCAGCGATCGAGGTCAACCCGATGAACACCATCAAAGGCGGCAATTGGACCGCGGAAGCAAACTTTTGTGAATGGATTGGTGTCGTTTGCAGCAACCGCAGGCAGAGAGTCATGGCTTTAGACCTCTCGCACGTAGGTCTCCAGGGAAGACTCTCTCCTCATCTAGGCAATCTCTCTTTCCTCGTTTCTCTTGATCTTCTCCACAATAGTTTCTATGGGAGAATTCCGATGGAAATCGGTCGTTTACGCCGCCTGAAAGAGCTCAAACTCGGATTGAACCAGTTTGAAGGAAACATTCCTCCTAATTTAGCCCAGTGCCAAAATCTCGAAGTGATATCACTCACGATGAACAGGCTAACCGGTGGCATACCGATAAGAATTTGGCACCTTCCCTAAGTTGCAACAACTTTTTCTTAGCCTCAACGAATTGAGGGGTCAAATTCCGAGCTTCCTGGGCAACATATCCACATTGCAGGACATTACTTTGGCCAAGGCCAATCTCACAGGTTCAATTCCTCCAACACTTTTCAATGGATCGCTCACCGATGTCGACTTTATGTATAATAATCTCTCAGGGAGTCTTCCCTCCGATCTTTGCTCCCGCTGGCCTAACATTCGGAGGCTTTTGCTGTCTTACAACGAATTCAGCGGCATGCTACCAGAGACGCTAACCCAATGCAAAGAGCTTCTCGTGTTGTCGTTGTCACACAATCGTTTTCAGGGAAGCATTCCTCGAGACATGGACAGCTTGCAAAAGCTGCAGGAGCTCTATCTCGGCAGTAACAACTTGACTGGCATGATTCCTCGAACCATCAGTAACATGTCAAGCTTGCGCATGCTGTACGTAGGAATTAACCACATCGAAGGGGACATTCCGAGTGAGATTGGCAAGTTGGTCAATCTGAATGAAATGAGCCTTCAGAATAATCTGCTAACGGGCGAAGTGCCAGAGGAGGTTTTTAACATTTCTTCTCTACAAGTGCTTTCTTTGAGGGGCAATTCCCTCTCCGGAAGCCTTCTCCCGAGTAGCGAACTAAGCCTTCCAAATTTGGAAATACTCATTCTCTCGGATAATGGCTTTGGTGGCAACTTCCTACAGTATATTTCGAATTTTTCGAGCCTAATCCGTTTCGATGCTGGGAAAAATCAACTCAGCGGACCCATACCCACAAGTTTGGGCAACTTGAAGAACCTCAGACTCTTTGCGGTTGCATCAAATCAGCTAACAGGAGAGACTGATGGTTCGGAGCTTGGTTTTATCTCTGCTTTATCTAATTGCCAATCGCTTGAAATTTTGATTCTGGAAGATAACCCGCTTCGTGGCTCCATACCAGAATCTATCAGAAACTTGTCCAGTTCCTTACAATTTCTATTCGCTCCATACTGTCAAATAAGAGGTCACATTCCGGGCGAAATGGGTTTCCTAAAGAGCTTGACTTTCCTAGAGTTGAGTGACAACGATATAGTGGGCAACATCCCATCATCGATCGGAGGACTAGAAAGCCTGCAAAGGCTGCATCTTGATAACAACCATCTTGAAGGACCGATCCCCAATGAGATATGCAACTTCACAAGTTTAGGAGAGTTGCTGCTCCGGCAAAATAGGATATCGGGATCGATCCCGAATTGCATTGGAAACCTGAGCAGGCTTCAAAAGTTTACCTTAAGTTCAAATAACATGACATCGGTTATACCTGTTAGCCCGTGGAACCTTGAAGAACTAATCTTCCTCAATCTGTCACTCAATTCTTTCAATGGAGGACTACCACTTGACATGGGGAAAATGAGAGCTATAAACAGCATTGATCTTTCTTGGAACCGACTCACCGGTGCCATATCCAGTTCCATCCAGGAGTTGAAGAGCCTTTCTTCTCTCAATTTGTCAAGGAACTCGTTTCAAGGATCCATACCGCAAGCAATCGGCAACCTCAAAGGATTGGATTTCCTCGACCTCTCCTACAATGAGTTATCAGGCGCAATACCCAAGTCCATGGAAGGACTTACATATCTGCAAAATTTGAACTTGTCCTTCAATAAGCTACCAGGAGAAATTCCTAATGGCGGACCCTTCGCAAATTTCTCAGCTCTCTCGTTCATTGGGAATGAAGCACTATGTGGAAATGCGGCTTTTCAAGTCCCACCTTGCAAAGAAAATGGAAAGAAATCATCAAGGGACATGCCACTCCGGTACTATACATTATGGTTCCAACTGTATTATACTTTTAGTCCTCGTTATTTGCTTGCTTAGAAAACATCAGAACACTGGCAAAAAAGCTCCAGTTTCAGTGGAAAACCCGCCTAGAATTGAACACCCGATGATATCATATCGGGAGCTTTGCTCTGCTACTAACAACTTCAGCGAAAGCAATTTGCTCGAAGCAGGATGCTTTAGCTCTGTATGCAAAGGGACTCTAGTCATTGGGACAGACATCGCTATTAAAGTACTGAATCTCCATATTGAAGGTGCTATCAAAAGTTTCGACGCAGAATGTGAGGTTTTCTGCAAGATCAAGCATCGGAATCTCGTCAAGGTGATTAGCACCTGCACGAACACCAATCTGAGAGCTCTGGTGCTGCAATACGTGCCCCACGGGAGCTTGGAGAAGTGGCTTTATTCCAACAACTATAACTTGGGTCTCCATCAGTGAGCGAAGATAATGGTTGACATAGCAACAGTGGTCGAATACCTCCACCATGGCCAACTAGAACCCATTGTGCACTGTGATATAAAGCCTAGCAATATTCTTCTAAACGAGAACTTGGTTGCACAAGTCTGCGACTTTGGAATCGCGAAGATTCTGGCTGAGAACAAGCTTGAAACACAGAGCCGAACTCTCGGCAAGATTGGTTACATTGCTCCAAGTACATTTGTCGAATTTTAACTAATTCAAGCCTTTGATTGCTGATATAATGTTATAATATAATAGAGATATATTAACGGTTGTATGACTTTCGATCTTATTACTTATGTCCCAAAAAGTAAAATGTTAATAATTGATATTCTTATGTAACAATCTATGATGCTTGCAGAGTACAGTTCGGAAGGAAAAGTCTCGACTAAAGGAGATGTGTACAGCTTCGGCATATTGTTGTTGGAAGTGATTACTAGGAAGAAGCCAACCGATGAAATGTTCGATGCGGATATGAGCTTGACGCAATGGGTAGGTGCAACAACTCCAGACAGAGTGCTTGACGTCGTGGATAGAGGAATCCTTAGCACGAAACATGAAGATCTGATGCTCCCGGAACTCGAGAGGATAGTCTTATCGATCCTAGAGTTAGGACTAGAATGTTCAAAGATCTTGCCTGAGGAAAGAATGGACATGGAAACTGTCATGGTTAAGCTCAACAAGATAAAGTTGTTACTTCCTTGACAAGAAATAAGGTGTACACAGTAATTTGAGCATAGTATCATCTTTGTTTGTACACATTAAGTTTGTAGAATTTGAGCATTGTATAATATTTGTTTGTACACAAAAATTTCGTTTTGACGGAATTGGGTATAGACATCTGCAACAAATTTCATGATCTTCTTTTGAGCTTTATGAGTGAGACGAAAACAATTGAAAGCACGACAAGATTTTCCATCAATGAAATTTCACCCAACAAGAGTCCAACTCGTATCTAACTTCGGAAGGCATAACAACTGCTATGTTCTCCAAGTAGAAACATTGTCTTTAGAATTGGTAGATTTCACTACAAAAAAATAAGATTTTAGCAACGGCATTTGCCACGAAAACTTTGGCAAAACCCGTCGCTAAATGAATTTGCGACGAAAAAAATTTTGTCGCCAATTCGGCGTCGCAAAATTTAGCGACGAAAAATTTCAGCTTTCGTCGCTAATTTGCCACGAACTTTATTCGTGGAAAAATTCGTTGCTAATTTGTCACGAACTGTATTTGTGGCAAAATTCGTTGCTAATTAGCAATGGCATTTGCCACGAAAGTTGCAACGAAAATAGCGACGAAAAGAATTTTGTCGCCAACTCAGGTCACAAAATTTAGCGACGAAAAATTTTAACTTTTGTCGCTAATTTTTATTAATTAGCGACGAAAAATTTATTAATTAGCAACGAACATTGTTCAGGAACGAATTTAGCGACGAATTTTTATTAATTAGCGACGAACATTGTTTAGGAATGAATTTAGCGACGAATTTTTATTAATTCTTTAGCGACGAACTCTGCACGAATATTGTTTAGGGACAGAATTAGCAACGAAATTTTATTTTTGCAACGAACTTTTATAATTTGTGATCGTATGATAAAATCATTTCTTTTTTTTTTCGATTTTAAATCTAATTAAAAGAAAAATTAATTTCTACAATTGATATTTAACATTGATTAAGCACTTACTAACATCAAAATATTATAATAATATGAACATGAAATACATTCATCTACATTTTCCACGGGAATGACATAAATATTTTTCTTTATAGTACACATAATGAGAGAATAAATAATCTTGAGCACTTTAAAGCACCTGCTTAAGCAACCTCAAGGTGGCAATCCTCCTACTAGCATTTCCAACAATTCCTTCACTAAAATGGACAATTACAAAGAAAAAGATACATTGTTGAAGTGCCACCAAGTTCACAACCTCATCTAGGTCACCAGGACAAGTCCTATGTAATTTGATCTAGGCAGAAAAACAAGTAATCTAAAGCACAAAACACAACTAATCTTCGCAAACACAAGCAGTGTCGCATCGCACAACTCATCCTGCAGTTGTTTCACATTGAAAGACTACCATGTTTAGTTCGCAGCCATTAGTAGCATGAAGTAAGGCAAACCAGTGACCAGGAAGAAATGAGTTTAACCTCACTCAACATCCAATGAAGCTCATCCCTAGCTTCGGATATCCTCTCTCTGTCATTGCTATTGACCACAAAGATAAGTCCCTAGGTGTTCTGAAAATAGTGTCTCCACAGGGGTCGAATGTGCCCTTAAGCCGATCCATACGAGGCAACCAAATCAACGGAACCTGACCATATGACAGCATCAAACACAAGCACTAGCAATTATCATTTGTAAAGAGGACCATTAATGAATATAAGACCTAATACAAGACAGTTCAAGCAAATATAGCTGCTTGAAGTGATTGATCTGCGAAAGACAACCAATGAGTCCTTATAGTTAACATCACCAGCTACAGCATTTGATAATTCCTACTAATACTTTTCAGTACTGGTGAGCATAAACAACGAAATAAACTCGTTGAAAGCTCTATGCACAGGGAGCAAAAGTGCAAACCTCCAAAGCCTCTCTATCACTTTTCCTTGCCCAATATGCTGCTCGAGAACTTCAGGGACATCATCAGGGGTTACATAGCCATACCTACAATCAGATCATAAAGTCAACTCACATAATGCTATTCAAATCAATATTTCGTGGTTTCTACAGCTTGAGAAAGAACTTAGAGAAAGTTTAAACCAGGACTGACCAATGACCCATGATTGTTCCCTCAGAATCTGGAGAGAAGACTATCAAATTCCCAGCATATTTGTGGCCACCTATGTGAGAGCATGGGCTAACAAACAGCTGATCCCCTTCATAAGAAAATCCAAGTCACATATCAAAGCAACAGCTAACCATCTCACAGCAGATGTAAAACTCCCCTTCAAGAAGTAAACAGAGGGAAGAACTCACTTGTATTTGATCATCTCAGGGAAGATCAACACATCCCCATCCGAACACTCGATCCCATTGCATCCTCCACACATGGTCAGCCTCGTCTACAAAAAGAAAACCACAAGTCAAAATGCAAGAAAATCCACAAATCATCAACAAACCTTCCTCGTCAGATCCAGAGTCCAAACCAACTCCACAACCACGATTTCCGCACAACAAAAAAAAACACCAACGCCACGCGCGAGCACAAAAACCCTCGACCTTCAATCCGAACCAACCTTGACGGGGATTTCACTCTTGCGGGCCTTGAGGGCGGCCCCGAGCAGCTTGGGGGGGAGGGTCGACGATGTTGGCGAGGCTGCCCTTGTACATCTCCGGCCGCTGGAAGCCGAACTTTGCCTCATTGTCGGCGGGGCTATAAGAGTTTCCAAGTTTACTAATCCCAATAAATAGCACGAAAGAAAATAAAAGTATTTGGGAATAACCTCAAAATCACGTGAGTCACACAAGAAATGATAATGGAGGATTTTTTTTAAAGACTCAAACTAATTCACTATTTCAATGTTGATTAGAATGTCATTCTTACGATGGGAATTTTAAGTGTGTCTAAAGTCTTCCCATACACTTTCTCAGTTTTCCCATTGGTAGCCATATAAAGAAAATCAACCACTGTGGACTGAAGACCCGTTTCGCGACCCAGAACACAATAGCCAACTAGAATCTAGAATGCATTCGTTTCTCCTTCTTCAAGTTATTTAGCATTCTTAGCATATTTATTCTGATGTCACCCACAACAAACTCATTAGCTGGTAACTCTTGCTAGGCCAAGCCAATTGTTCCATTTCTTGTGACCAGTCCATGAGGCAGCATCACTTGAAAGACCACTATGTCCTTCCTTTATCACACATTATCCTCCATATCGACCACCTTAAATTTACATATGAGTAACGTTTCTCCTACCCACTATCAATCCAGTTCTAGTAACCGGTAAGGCTAGGCCCTTCCAAAAGTAAGATAACATCCGCGATGGAATATCATCCAACATATCAGACAACAATTTTTGTCAAGTACCTTACCCGACATGAAGATCATAACAGGAAAGATCAATTTGATCCAAGTTGGAGTCCTGATTGTTCACTCCATGCCTGTTGATGGCGCAAAGTATCATAGTTACAACTAAAGTTCATATTTCTAGAGTCTAGCCTCCCAAAGTTGTGGTCACGATATATTGCCACCACACCATCACGAGCAAAAGATCCTAGGGACAACCAAATATTGCTGCTTAGCAGAGCTCTGTCATGTAAATGTTATGCCGCCTGAGTAATTTAGAACAATCCACTTCTCCCACTGATAATCACAGCGAAATATGTACCCAAGCTTCCCCAAATCGCTCTAAGTTTCCGTATACCTTAATTTTAGACAACATTATCCAGCTCTCAGCAGGACTGCCCTGAACATTTCTTGGCATACATTTGACAGAAAAAGGCAGTAATATAATGCAGATCCACGAACGAAACGTCAAGAAATACAAAAATAATCGCCCAGCAACAACCAAATCAGCAGAGAACTAACCACAACCAGTTTTGCATGAAGCAACCAGATCAGCAGAAAACAAAATGCAGCAATCATTCAAACGAAGAACCGAGAGATCGAAGACATACCTTGGTGAAGATCCCCACTCCGCACTCCATGGCAATCTTCGCAAGGAAGAGATCGTCGGCGAGAAGCCTCTCCTTGAAACCTCCAAACTGCATCAACCAACGGAAGAACGGCGAAAATGAGAGCTACTGAGGACGGGAGAGTGCAAATGCATTTGATTTTTTTTTTTCCTTTCTTTAGCAACGAATTATTGTTTTTGTCGCTAATCAGCGACGAATAGTTTTGCTACGAAATTAGCGACGACAAATTTTGCGACGACCTATTATTTCGTTGCTAATTTTGCGACGAAATTAGCGACGACGTAAATTAACGACCACCTATTATATTAAAAATTCAACAAATAAAAAATGTCGCCAATGTCGTCGTTAATTTTGCGACGAATTATGTTTGTCCCCAATTAGCGACGAAATTAGCGACGACACCAATTAGCTACGAAATTAGCGACGACCTATTATATTAAAAATTCAGCAAATAAAAAATGTTGCCAATGTCGTCGCTAATTTTGCGACGAAATTAGCAACGACCTATTATATTAAAAATTCAACAAAGAAAATATGTCGCCAATGTCGTCGCCAATTTTGCAACGAATTATGTTTGTCGGCAACTAGTGACGAAATTTCTTTCATCGCTAATTTTGCAAATAAATAATGTGCGCTATATCATTTGCGATAAATTTTGCGACGAATGGGCAAAAATAGCTACTTTCGTTGCTATTTTTGTCGCAAATTGGCGACGAATTCTCTTTCGTCGCCAATTTTTCGTGGCTAAATTCTTATGTTTTTTTTGTAGTGTTTGCCACAAACGAGACAAACATTTGTCTCCTTCAAACCAAGATAAATGTGAAGACGATTCGATTGATCCTTGGCATCTTCTTGGTCCCTTGACCAATAATCTTTCTTAGGATTTAGTAGACCAACCCCCGGCTCGAGGCCTTTTCGTGTCAGGCCAGGCAAAGCCCATGAGCCGTGTATGCCAACCCCGGGCCGTCACGTTCTTGGGCCTGATTTAACCCCCTTTTCTGTTTTAAATATTTCCTTTATTTTATCCAAAAAAAGAAGAAGGTTGATTATTTGTTTTAATCCAAGAGAGATTATTTTGATTTTTCCATACCAAAATGGTAAAGAGAAAATCAAACTAAACGGATGATACGGAGAGAGCGAACGCCCGAGGTAGCCTCGAGCGACATTTCGATTTCAATATATAATATAGACACCGATTTAGTATATCGATCGAGTTATAAACAAATAATAGTTTACTTTCCTAATGAAATAGCTATATTTGTCGGGTCAAACTAGACCTGTCAAAATGGGTCATAAACCCATTTCTTAACCCATATATTGGTAAATGGGTCATAAATGAGTTAGTTATATTTAGTAAATGGGTCATAAATAGGTAGAAGTCTAATATTAGTATTAAATGGGTCATAAATAGGTCGTAAATGAGTCATAAATGAGTTTACAACTGATTTAAACTCAACTCATCTCTTTCGCCCTTACTCAACCTTGCGCTCACTCACTTCGCACTCTCATCTCAGTTTTGGTATGAATTTTCCTAGATTTAATTAAATATGGAAGTGTTTAGCAATATGGGTCTGATCGGGTACGGATTGGGTATGGGTCAGGTCAGGTATGGGTCAAGAAAATTGCATTACGCATAAATAGGTCATAAATGAGTTATGGGTCAATTTGGGTCAATTTGGGTCGGACCATTTATGATCCGACCCAAATCCAACCCGACCCACCCATCCATTTGACAGGTCTAGGTCAGACCCCCTTTTGATGCGGCTATTTGCGCATTTTCAAATGCCCCATCCCATTTGTAGGATTGGAGCTAAAAGCTTTTTCTACAGTGTTTGCAAATCATGCCACCGCATTGATACAGTACTTCTCTAATCTCGAAGAATTGGCACACGTGGGTGGTTCTTCTTCGCATTGGATGAGCAAAATTGAGTATGCTCTCATTTAAACCGGCCATATCTTGTCGATGATTAAAGCTTCAAAGCGATTGTCAGAGAGTAAAAATCGCTCGTCCATGTGCGGATTGTGGAGGAATTTGTGGTTTGCCTTGTGAATTTCCTCCAGCATCTGTAAATTCTTTAAGAAATATTTATACTATCGCCATTGGTCACTAAAGGCTCTTGGGCCTGAATCAGTGTTGATCCCCGAAATATTAATAAAGAAAAACGAGAAAACGAAAAAAATGGGAACAGATCAGTAGCTCGGGCTTAATATAAAAAAAACTGATTTCCTTGCACGTGTTACGTACCTATGTGGTCATTTTCAATCCTTATGAAGCGTCATAACGGATTTACAATAAGAAAACAACTTTATTGGATGGAGAAATAAAATATTTAAAACCATTTTTTTTTATCATTATATGGACTCTTTTTCAAAAAGCAAATTGAATAATCTTTTTTTTAAGTGTTCGAACTATTGTTTCAATCACTTCCCACGATGCACGTTACTTGCCCCGAGTCGCACGTATCAAATAAGACATCATTTTCTAAAACAACGAGCATGGCTCCCAATTAAAGTCATTAGTGGGGTAATTAGCAAGCTTTCATTTCAAAACTCTTGTACATTATGCACGGACAAATCCGTTCACATGCCAAACGAGAAATATTACTATAGTATGTCCAACAAAATCCCCATGTACCATCTTATAAAGGTTTTCGATAGATGAAGATATTCAGTGAAATCCCCAAGTGTGAATGCATTGAGCATGATAAATTTCAAGATTGACTCTTTTGTATGAATTGGTCTGGATGATTGAGGTTCAACCACGGTTAATGACTATCTTCTTTATCAGTCCGTGTGGCAAAAAGAAAAAAAAGTAAAAAGTTGCTCTAAAAAGAAACTCCAAAAGAAAGAAAGATGGTTAGTGGCTTTCTTCTTGCCCAATTCTTACTCTTAAAAATTTAAAAGAAACAAAGAACTTGAAAGGCAGACTCGACTCGTGTAATTTCCCAAAAAGATTTAGCATAATGACAATATAAGCCTCAAAATCTCCTTTACTTATTTATAATTCAACCACAATCACCTATATTCAAGTATTTTTTTTTTGTCGAAAGAAAATTTCATTCATTTTTCAAGATCAAATAGGAGAGGAACATAGAGAACTTCTAAGTAAAGCAAATGCAAAAAAAGCTGCAAAACAAAACAAAATCCAGAAAACAAAAGAGTACAGCTTGCAACTACAAGCACGCTCTCAGCCCAAAAGACCGGATCTATCGCGATATAAAAAAACAATCATATGCCGATCACTGGAACCATCAGTGATGGGCACACGCTGAGATCTTCTCCTCCAAAAACTAATGCGCTTCTAGATTCGGCATCCTTAACACTATCACCATACGGAGATAACAACAACAACATCATGTTGAAGCACTAAAGATCAAATACGTACCTTTAAGAAACTCCCAGATTTGGATTTAGATAGGGAGAAAGCTCCCAACTCTATATCTATACCTAAATTGGGAGAGGAGGGTTAATTTATTTGGTCCCAACAACATTGCATGCCAAAGCGTTGCATTATACTTTAAGGAAGGGTTAATCCGCCATAACAACCTATTAAATTTGAACACTTTATTTCTATTCATTATTAACTAGCAATGCAACTCTAGAATCATTGATCTATATCGTGATTTGCAATGTACTTTTTTTTTATCGAAGAAAATACTTGCGTCATTCATCGCTTTAAGTGATACCACTATTACATGAAAAAGGAGCCTCAGAACACATTAGATCCCATAGGATTTTCGAGGGATTAGAGGTCCAATTACTAGAGAGCTCGTTTCGTCTGTGGGCCTTAGAGACCCAATCCGCTATTTGGTTTGCTTCTCTTGGACGATAGGCCAATTGTAAGCTTTTGAAGTGGCCCATCAGAGCTTTGCACGCAGAGATCAATGAGTCTATTTCCCAGGATGGCTTATCTTGATCTGTGAGGGCATTTATCAGACAGCTACAGTCTGACTCAAGCTGGTACTTTAAGTGAGAGCACGAACTAAAGTGGTGAAGTGCTTCCCAACAGGCTAGGGTTTTGATTTGCGCCGGAGAAGACGCTCGCACCTTCTTTGCAAAACCGTCAACGATCTTCCCAGAGGCATCTCGGCATACACAGGCGACACTACCTTCGTTATCTCCTTCCACAAAGGACCCATCAACGTTAATTTTGAGGGTACCTTCCGGCAGTGGCTTCCATATGGCAGGTGGGTGAGCGATCAGTCGATTGTGTTTTTTCTTTCCCGGGTTCCACTTCTCGAAGTTCTTGCGGGACGCCATGGCAGCTTCCACTACCCACCTCGACTCTGGGTTCTGTTGACGAAAGACGTGATTGTTTCTTGACTTCCAGATGTTCCATAGGATCTCGGCTAGTAGCTCAGGTGAGGGATTTTTGTTAAAATTGTTTCCTTTCTCCAGAAACCATTCTTCCATTCATCTCAAGCCTTTATCTGTGAATGTAATGTTCAAATCAGGGTGCGTCCAAACTTGTTTGGTCCATTCATAGAGAAGAAAGATATGTTCTACAGTCTCTGGGTGCTTGCGACAAAGAGGGCATAAGGGCTCAGGTATGATTTTCCTTGTGTGCAAATTCTCTGCCGTGGGAATAGCGTTTTGGCACATACTCCAAATAAACAACTTGACTTTCGGAGGGGTGTTCAGGTTCCATATCAGATTCCATAGTGCTTTTGGTGGTTGATAGGAAGATGTGGCTCTGTGTGGTTGTTGTTGTTCATCCGTCACTCTTGCATAGTTGTAGGCACTTTTCACTGAATATTGTCCTGACTTGGTGCAGGTCCACACTAGCTTGTCTTTCTCAGCGTTAGGTCTTAGCGGAATTGCTAATATTTGGTCAGCTATCTGCTCATCGAACATACTCTTTATCATCTGTTCATCCAAACTATAGTCCTCTTGGTTAATTAAATCCGCCACTTTCTGAGGTTCCCCCTGTCTTGCCTCACCTCCAATTATTCCTCTCTGAAGCCACTGATCATTTCTAATGCTTATGTCTTCTCGATTACCCACACTCCATTTTACTGCTTTGGAGATGTGCTCTCTGCCCATTAGTATGCTTTGCCATCCCCACGATGAATGTGACCCCTTTCCTGCATTCCAGAAATTGTTATTGGGGTAGTAGAGCCCTTTGAAAAGCTGCACCCATAAACTTGATGGGTTTTGAAAACTCTCCACACTTGTTTACCAAGCATGGCCTTGTTGAAGGTTATCAAATCCTTGAACCCCATTCCCCCATTATCCTTTCTTCTTTTCAGAACATCCCATCTCTTCCAATGTAGCCCCGTCTTGGATTCGTTGTTTTTCCACCAAAATGTTGCAATTTTTTGTTCGATCGAACGACAAATGGATATGGGGATTTTAAAAATTGACATTGCATAATGTGGGAGGGCTTGCACCACTACTTTAATTAGTATCTCTTTTCCTGCCTTGGTTATTAGTTTCTCTTTCCATCCTTCGAGTTTCGTTTTGACTCTTGCCAAGATCCATGCAAACATTTGCTTTTTCGTTTGTCCCCAATCTGATGGGATCCCCAAATATTTTCCTGTTTTTTTCTATCTCCGGCACCCTTAATTCATTTGCCATATTCTTGCGAAGACTCCTTGGACATTCGTTGCTGAAAAAAATCCCTGATTTGTTGAGATTGATGGCTTGTCCTGTTGCGAAGCAATACTGGTTTAAAACTGCCCCCACATTTTGGCATTCTTTAATCTGCCCATCTAGGAAAAAGATGGAGTCATCTGCAAAAAGTAAGTGTGACAGCGTGGGACAGTTTCTATTCAACTTGATCCCAGTAATGCTTCCATCTTGAACCGCTTTATTAAGTAGGTTGGATAACACATTGGCCAAAATAATGAAAATATAAGGGGAAAGAGGATCCCCTTGGCGTATCCCTCTTGAGGGATGGAAATAGGACAAGGCTTCCCCATTAAACTTTATGCTCAGAGACACTGAAGTAACACAATGCATGACCCATGAAACCCATTTTGCACTAAATCCCATTTGCAGCAAACAAGCTTCCAAGAAATCCCACTTCACTCTATCGTAAGCCTTTTTCATGTCTAGTTTGAGCACTGCTTGGAATTTCTTCTTTCTTTTTCTAGTTCAGAGTTGACGTAGCACCTCCTGCACCATCAAAATGTTATCCTGTATTTGCCTTCCACTGACAAAGGCGCTTTGTTCCTCCGCTATCAAGTTTGGCAGCCAAGGTTTTAGGCGGTTTGCCATTACCTTTGAGATGATTTTATAGCTAAAAAACTGGATTTAGATCAACCAATAATGTGCACATGTCAATAGACACATCAATGTTGCAGATTAAACGGAGAATGCTAACCCAACTAGGTCAAAAGAAATATAGGTCTTGACTATTGGACTATCTAGTACATGTTCCATTGCATTGGGACAATTGTCCAAAAAGTCTTAAACCTTTTGTACTTTTGCCAATTCAGTCCTAAATCTTTCAATTTTGTCAATTGAGTCATAAAAACCTTTTCACACTTTGTCAATTGAGTCCATCTAGTCAATTTTAGCCTGAAATAACTGACGTGGATAACGGCCGTCCTACGTGGCGTGACTGGCGCTAACGTAGATAATTTTTAATAATATTTTAATATTTTTCAATTTTTTAATTAATTTTTCCTTTTTTTTCTTTCTTTCTTTTTTCCTTCCTTCTTTCCTTTTTTTTTTGTTTCCCACTAGCCGGGGAGCTTGGCCGGCAAGGGTTGCCGGAGCTCGCCGGCCAGTGGGTGAGCCCGGTCTCACCATGACCTTGCCGGTCATGGGGGAAGGCGGCCTTGCCCGCGGTTGGCGAGGCCATGATATATACTTTAGATAAACCAATAATGTGCACATATCAATAGACACATAATGTTGCAGATGAAATCTAGAATGCTAACCCAGATAGGTCAAAAGAAATATAGGTCTTGATTATTGGACTGTCTAGTCCATGCTCCATTGCATCACATCCACACAACAATCAAACATGAACAAAGATGCACACACGTCCTATTGGTATATGAAAAGGCTACATAATCCAATGTCAAAGTACACATTATTGTATAGTACCGAGACAAGTTCAATAGAAATTAATTAACGAAAAAAATCAAGACGTTAAAGTATTTAAAATCATTAGATGAAAATATTAGTTCCATAAATTATTAGTTCAAAGTGAGAGGACCAAAATCAACACTAGGTTTCGAATTAATACTGTAAAGCAATTTTTCAATAAAACAAAAAGCTAGAAGCTGTGCAGCAAACGGGAATTCTACTAGTGTTAAAGAAACGCTTCCAAACCAGGACAAATCCCTTTACTTTATATAATTAATATGGTCTTATTCTTCTTTCAATCGAAATCATGTCAAATGGAGAATGAGGGAGGATTTCCCACTATGCTTCCCAAAGAAAATAGTAAATTTTTCCGTGCATTTTAATAGTAGAGATTTCAAAGCCATTATCCTTTTTGGGACAAGAAGCCTACGATCGTTGTTGAAGGGAGTCCACCAGATGATAATGTGTGCTGAGAAAAGAAAATATAGTCAGAGTGAATAGTGCACATGTTAAAGGAATAAGTGTTATAATTTTGCAGTTTAAATTCAACATGACACGCACAAAATCCACGTAATTTGCTCCATCAAACATCAGCTTTATCAAATTGGTGTCCATGACGTATTTCATTTAAATTAATTAATGAAAGGATGACAATAAATATATTAATATATTAGGGATTTAATTAGATCAATTAAAAGTTGCGGGACGGCATTTCACATTATTCAAAAGTGATTTAATTGAATCGATTGAAAGTTCAAGTATGACATAACGCATGGATAAAAGTTGACAAACTACTATTATCATTATCTCTTCCAGCAGTAGGAACTTCTAATCAGTCAACTTTCCACAAGACACTTTATATCGCCCCTGCTGGGAGGTCACGACGGTTATCACAAAACCTTTTCACATTCGTGCCTTGGAGCATTAGTCAAAAGTAAGTGTGAACATGTAAATGTAAAGAACAGGCCATTTATTGAATCAGACGTGATTGAGGGGCATCATTTGATAGTTAGTCTTTCTTCACACCGTTTTCTTTTTTTAAATTGAGACAATCATTTGGTAGGTTTTGGTATTGAATACAAAGAACAGGTTCTAATTAGCAAACCGTCCACTAATGCAATCAAAAGAGACTCTGTTCATTATGGAGAAGTTCATCTTTTCAGCATTTGTTGATGTTCTGTTGGCTTCCCTATTGATGTTTCAGCCCGTCATCTGTTCCGGCAACTTCACTGATCAAGAGGCTCTCCTCCACTTCAAATTGACAATGGAAGTTGACCCGATGAACACCATCAAAGGCGGCAATTGGACCGTGGAAGCAAATTTCTGTGAATGGATTAGTGTCGTTTGCAGCAACCGCAGGCAGAGAGTCACGGCTTTAGACCTCTCGTACATGGGTCTCCACGGAAGACTCTCCATTCCTTGGCAATCTTTCCTTCCTGGCTTCTCTTGATCTCCGTAACAACAATTTCTATGGCACGATTCTGATAGAAATTGGTCGTTTACACCGCCTGAAAGAACTCATACTCGAAGAGAACCATTTCGAAGGAAACATTCCTCCTAACTTAGCCTGGTGCCAGAACCTGGAAGTCATGTCACTCGCGATGAACAGGCTAACGGGTGGCATACCAAGAGAATTTGGCGCCTTCCCTAACTTGCAACAACTGTTTCTTAGCTTCAACAACTTACTGGGTCAAATTCCGAGTGTCCTGGGCAACATAACCACATTGCAGGTCATTAGTTTGTTAAAGGCCAATCTCACAGGTTCGATTCCTCTAACACTTTTCAATAGATCCCTCACGACTGTCATTTTGATGAATAATTATCTCTCTGGAAGTCTTCCCTCCGATCTTTGCTACCGCTGGCCTAACATTCAGATCCTTGCACTCTCTTAACCAATTCAGTGGCCTGCTACCAGAGACGCTAACCCAATGCAAAGAGCTTCTCGTGTTGTCGTTGTCATTGAATCGTTTTCAGGGAAGCATTCCTCGAAACATGGACAGCTTGCAAAAGCTGCAGGAGCTATATCTTGGTGCTAACAACTTTTCTGGCACTATTCCTCGAACCATCGGTAACATGTCAAGCTTGAACATGCTGGACGTAGGATCTAACTACATTGGAGGGGACATTCCGAGTGAGATTGGCAATTTAGTCAATTTGAATTTTATGAGCCTTCAAAAAAATTTGCTAACAGGGCGAAGTGCCTCAAGAGGTTTTTAATATTTCTTCACTTCAAGTGCTTGCTTTGACGGAGAATTCCCTCTCTGGAAGCCTTCCCTCAGGTTGTGATCTAAGCCTTCCGAATTTGAAAAAACTCTATCTAGGAGACAATGGCTTTGGCGGCAACATCCCGCAGTATTTCTCGAATTTTTCGAACCTAATTCGTTTAGAGGTCGGGCACAATCAACTCAGCGGACCAATACCCACGAGTTTAGGCAACTTGAAGAACCTCAGACACTTTGGGGTTCATTCAAATCAACTAACAGGAGAGACTTATGGTGCGGAGCTCGGTTTTCTCTCTGCTTTTATCTAATTGCCAATCGCTGCAAAACTTGTATATGGGAGAAAACCCTCTTGGCCGCTCCATACCAGCATCTATCAAAAACTTCTCCAATTCCCTACAAATTCTATTCGCTCCCAATTGTCAAATAAGAGGTCACATTCCCAAGGAAATGGGTTTCTTGAAAAGGTTGATTTTCCTAAAGTTGAGCAATAACGATCTAGTCGGCAGCATCCCATCACCGATCGAAGGACTAGAAAGCCTGCAAAGGTTGTATCTTGATAACAACCATCTTGAAGGACCAATACCCGATGAGATATGCAACTTGACGAGTTTAGGAGAGTTGCTGCTCCTGCAAAATAGGATATCGGGATCAATTCCGATTTGCATTGGAAACCTAAGCAGCCTTCAGAAGTTTCTCTTAAGTTCAAATAACATGACATCGGTTATACCGATTAGTCTGTGGAGCCTTGAAGAACTCATCTTCCTCAATCTGTCACTCAATTCTTTCAGTGGAGGACTACCACTTGAAATAGGAAAAATGAGAACTATAGAGAGCATCGATCTTTCTTGGAACCGACTTACCGGCGCCATACCGAGTTCCGTCCAGGAGTTGGAGAGCCTTGCTTCTCTCAACTTGTCAATGAACTCGTTTCAAGGATCGATACCGCAATCGATCGGCAACCTCAAAGGGTTGGATTTCCTCGATCTCTCCTACAATGAGTTATCAGGCGCGATACCCGAGTCCATGGAAGGACTAACATATATGCAAAATTTGAACTTGTCCTTTAATAAGCTATCAGGAGAGATTCCTAACGGCGGGCCCTTTGGAAATTTCTCGGCTCTCTCGTTCATTAGGAATGAAGCACTTTGTGGAAATGCGATTTTTCAAGTCCCACGTTGCAAAGTAAATGGAAAGAAATCACCAACGGACAAGCGGCTCTGTTTACTATACATTATGGTGCCAATTGTATCGGCCATACTTTTAGTCCTCATTATTTGCTTGCTTAGAAAGCGCCAGAACACTGGAAAAAAAGCTCCAGTTTCAGTGGAGAACCTGCCTAGAATTGAACACCCGATCATATCATATCGAGAGCTTTGCTCTGCTACTAACAACTTCAGCGAAAGCAATTTGCTCGGAGCAGGACGCTTTAGCTCTGTATACAAAGGGACTCTGGCCAACAGGACAGACATCGCTGTCAAAGTACTTAATCTCCATATCGAAGGCGCTATGAAAAGTTTCGACGCAGAATGTGAGGTTTTCTGCAAGATCAGGCACCGGAATCTCGTCAAGGTGATCAGCACCTGCACGAACGCCGATCTGAGAGCTCTGGTGCTGCAATACGTGCCCCACGGGAGCTTGGAGAAGTGGCTTTATTCCAACAACTATAACTTGCGTCTCCACCAGCGAGTGAAGATAATGGTTGACGTAGCAACGGTGGTCGAATACCTCCACCATGGCCAACCAAAACCCATTGTGCACTGTGATCTTAAGCCTAGCAATATTCTTCTAAATGAAGACCTGGTTGCACAAGTCTGTGACTTTGGGATCGCGAAGATTTTGGCTGAGAACAAGCTTGAAACACAGCCCCGAACTCTCGGCACGATTGGTTACATTGCTCCAGGTACATTTGTCAAATTTTAACTAATTCAAGCCTTTGATTGTCAATAAAATGGTGTAATATAATAGAGATATATTAACACTCATATGCCTCTCAATCTTATTACTTATGTCCCAAAAAGAAAAAGATCAATTGTTGATGTTCTTATTTTACAACTATGACGCTTGCAGAGTACGGTTCGGAAGGAAAAGTCTCGACAAAAGGAGATGTCTATAGCTTCGGCATATTGTTGTTGGAAGTGATTACTAGGAAGAAGCCAACCGATGAAATGTTCAATGCGGATATGAGCTTGAGGCGATGGGTAGGCGCAGCGATTCCAGACAGAGTGTTGGACATCGTGGATAGCGAACTCCTTAGCACAAAACATGAAGATCTGACGCTCCCGGAATTCAAGAGGATAGTCTTATCGATCCTAGAGTTAGGACTTGAATGTTTGAAGGACTTGCCTGAGGAAAGAATGGACATGCAAACTGTCATTATTAAGCTCAACAAGATTAAGTTGTCACTTCCTAGACAAGAAAATAAGGTGGAGAGCAGTACGTAGAATTTGGGCCCAATATCATCATAGTTTGTAGACGGTCATTTCGTTTTGATGGCATTATATATAGCCATCTGCAGTAAAGTTCCTGATCTTCTTTTGAGGTTTTTGAGTCACACTTGTATCTGACTGCGGAAGGTACAACACCTGCTGTGTTCTCCAAGTAGAAAAATTTTCTTGAGAGTCGGTAGATTTGTCAGTGACGAACGTTGTTTCCTTCAAACCAAGATAAACGTGAAGAAGATCTTGTTTTTGATTGATGATTGGCGTCTTCTAGGTCCTTTGACCAACAGTTTTTCTTAGGCTTTGGTAGGGCATGCCAAACCTCGACGGCTTCTCGTGTCACGCCAGGCACAGCCCATGAGCCTTGCGTGTCAAGCTGGGCAAAGGTCAGGTCTTCCGAGCCCGCATCTCAAGACCGGACCCGGCACGTGTTTGGACCAATTTTGGCCCCTTTTCCGTTTTAAATATTTCCTTTTATTTTTACAAAAAATACCTATAATTTATTTTAATCCAACAAAAGATTATTATAATTTTTCCATATTGAAATTGTATAGCGAAGTCAAAATAAATGGAATAGACAGTAGCTTGGCCTTCCAAAAAAAAAAAATAGTTTTCATGCTCGCATTAGACACCTATACGGTAATCTTCATTCCTTTTACAACGTCATAATGGATAGTAATAAGATTATAATTTTAATTGCATGGAGAAATAAAATATTGAAAGTCATTTTTGTCAATCGTTATAATTCTTTTCCAAAAAACAAACATTAAATAATATCTTCTTATTCTTTCAATGATTAAAACAAATATTTATTCAAAATTTTAAAAGAAGAAATTGAGAGATGGATGAAACTGGCTGTTGCAGTATAGGAACGATGAAATATTACAGGCCTTTTCTTTTGTCGATTATCTCTTTCTTTGGCCTGTTTTACTTTTTTCTCTTTAAAGTTAAATTACATTAAAAATATGTAAGTGAGGGCTAAATGGGAAATCAAAAAGTACGATAAAACCCATTTTTGACTTAAATATGTAGATTAAGGGTATTTTTTTGTTTTGGTCGGCAGAAAAAAAAACGTTATACAATATGAATATGAGTAATAACTTATCATCATTGTTTTTTATCCTTGAACTACAAGTAGAATGATTTGAAGTCATTACTTCAAATGAATTTTACATGAAAATTTTCATTCGAGTACTATTACAATAAGACAATACAATTTGAACTTCACATTTTCCTCCTCAAAAATCTAATTAAGTGATGGTTGCTTGAGGTCACTTCAATCTTTCAGTTATGAACCGTTTGCCTTGTGTCAATCTTCTTTCACTAAGATTCAGATGATGGACGGTCGTGTAGTTCCTCACCCTTGCGCAATCTGGATTCTTAGTTTCAAGAGTAAAAAATGAAAATGATCAACAAAATGCAGTTTCTAAAAAAATTCATCCGTAGTCTATGGCCTAGGGTCTTCCCTTTCAAAGGTTGAGGTGAGCTATAATAATCCAAATGGAATTGTTCTAGGAGTGGCCCAGCAATCACTTCTTAAGTCTATTATAAACGTAAAATTTTAGATGTTATGGGGAAATCAACTAATCACCTAATGGTCAATTGGCCTGCGAAAATCAAATATATAGATTCGTCGGTTCGATTATGCATGAGTAAGGTTGAGCACCCCATTTTAGGGTCCATGTTGTCCTTTGGCTATCACATTCTTTGATTAAATTACATGTATAACTGAAATTTGGTTATCCACTCTGAGGTGTATTCATCTCATCACAAAATGTGACAATTAATGACTCAACTATGTTAAAGCTATTTGTATGTGGCAGACTTGGTGCCTCCCAAGATGCCCCGTCCCACTTGATGAGTTGCATAAAAAATCATTTTTCCCAAAAATGTGCAAACGGCCCGTTGTACTTGACTCTTGATAACTTTGCATTCGAATATCCGTCACCTGTTAGACGTTTTTAATAGGGGACCACCTAAAATTGTACTTTCCAAAGAAAACACTAGATAGTTTTCACCCATGCATTGCTACTTTCAAAAGAAGCCAATCACTTTTCGACCAAAAAAAAAAAACAAAAAAGAAGCCAATCACTCAATTCATGACCTCAAATGGACCTTGATCTTTAAGGTCACGGTAGACCTATCAAACGAGTGGGTCGGGTCGGGTCGGGTTTGGATCGGGTCGAAAATGGTCCGACCCAAATAGACCCATTTAACTTGTTTTAACCCATTTAAGGCCACGGTAGACCTATATCCGACCTGACCCATACCCAACCAATACTCAACCCGGCCCATATTGCTAAAACACTTCCATATTTAATTCAATCTAGGAAAACTCATACCCAAACTAAGATGAGAGTACGGAATGAGTGAGGGTGAGAAAGATGAGTTGAGCTTAAATAAGTTGTAAACCCATTTATGACCCATTTACGATCCATTTATAATCCATTTAACACCAAAATTATGTTTATACCCATTTATGACCCATTTAGTGAATATAACTAACCCATTTATGACCCACTTACTGATATATGGGTTAAGAAATGAATTTATGACCCACTTTGACAAGTCTAATTATGGCAGAGAGACACGATTTTTGATGGCTTTGGTTGCGGTGGTGCATTTTCTGGTGCAACAATGAAGCTCACAGTGGAGATAATGGTGGATGAGATAGGGCCAAGCACCAACTTAAGATTAAGAAAAGCACTGCACAAATAGATTACCAAGCAATAATAGAATATTGAAATGAATGTTTAGAATTAATTCTTTGTTGCGACGTTCGGCAGAGACTCGATATTATCGGCTTCTAGATTGCTGCACATATTTTCTATAGTCCCACTTTTAAGTAAAATCACTACCAAATCCGTAAGATTAAATCGTGAAATTTTACAACTATAAAAAAATGCTAAAAAATATCACCCGTCTTATTATAAGTCATAAATAAATTGAACAAGACCTTAGTGGTATAAAAAATAGGTCTACTATGGAAAACTTCACTACCACTATTTTAAATGTCTTTTTCATATCAAGTAGTTAAAAACGGAACACAAAAGCAAATGAAGAAAATTCACTAGTATGACATCAAAGGCACAAAAAAATTACTAATAAAGAAAATCTAGAATAAATAATCAGCTGTCATCTTAACATCTTGATTGAGATTGTAACTGGCCCCATCGACCTTCCTCATCAAATTCATTATCAAACCCAAAATCATTATTAGTACTACCAAAAAATTTGTCGTTTAAGTGATATTTGGAATTTGGGGTTAAAAAGTCTAGGCTAGGCTCTACTAATTTTGGCCCAAAATTAATTTTTTTACGGGCTACTTTTGTGAATTAACGCCAAGAAATAAAATCTCATGATCTTGACAGGCAATCTAACATGGTTTTACCTCTAATCTAATTTTCGAATGGTTGGGATCGTTTAGTAGATTTGGTATCATAAGTCATTGATCGTACAATCTAAATCATGATTCTAACAACCGTGTCGCCGTATGCTACTAGCACCTGCAAAGTGCTTTCTATCAATTGGAGTGCTCGACCTACTTTAATGTGTATACTAGTGGTAAATCTTTGCCTTTGGCACGATAGGAGTACTAATAATTATTTTACCTAATTTTCTAAGATTGATAAAGTTATATCATGAATAATCTTTTAGTTAATATCTAAAAAGTAGAAAATAATAAATAAGTAAAGAATTCATATTTTTTATTATTTTAGTTTGAAAATGTGGTTTTTAGTAACATGAGGGATATGCATTTAGCATATTGTTTTTTAATCTTATGAAGAAAGATATTCAAATATGTAAGACATGTTTTAAAAGATTTCGAGACATCACATGGTGAATGTACATTAGTTTGGAAATAAATAGATAAATTGATAAACAATAAATTAGCACAGGATAAGCGAACAAAATTTTGGCACAAATTACTATGTCACGTCAAGAAATTAACAATACATGCACAGTAAGTGTGGGGGATATGAGGGATTCCCAATTCAAGAACTAGAGGTTTTACATTCAAATCCCACTAACTACGTGCAAACTACTCTATGTTTGAGCCACTGCACATATCAAAGGTCAAAACCTAAATGGTTCATGGGGCTTCCAGTGGATTCCATGGATTAGGCAACTGGGTCTTCACTCCCATGACCTAGCATTATAAAAGTAAAACAAAGAAATTTTCATTCAACTTAAATGGGATCTTTGTGCAATTAGTTCGTAAATAATATTTAAATTACAATATTGTCCATTGTATTAAACAAACCATTACAATTTATCTCTAATGATAATGAAAAGCGTCATTTTATATGATACAGGTGAATATCTTATATATTTCAATATTTTTCATTCATACAGAGCATTGCTTGTCATAACACATATTACAAACAAAAGCTCATAGATGCTTGGACATGCTTGGATGGACTTATTGAAAGCATTCATGACATTGTCACCGAATTTAAAAACTATTTTCTTTCAAATGTTTACTAAAAGATTTTACACGACTCTATATAGATTTCAAATATCAATATGTGTAACTCAAAATCATTAAGGTGAATAACATTATTTAAAAGTCAACTCTCAAAAATTACAAGTAAAAGTAAAAGTAAAAGTACAAAACAATGTTTAACCATGTTTATCCCATCAAAAACCTTATCAAATGAGAGCAGCACAACATGCATTATATATAAATTTCTAAGATAAGATTTAAGATTATAGAAATATCTTTTAATAGATAAAAAAATTGTGAAGTAACACTCTTATAGTCGAAGTAGCATGCGGACTCTTCCTAGTTATCACAAAACCTTATCACATTCGTGCAGTGGAGCTTTAGGGGGTTCTCCAAGTTCAATCAAAAAGACTCTTCATTATGGAGAAGTTCATCTTTTTAGCATTTCTTGACGTTCTGTTCGCTTCCTTATTGATGCTTCAGCCCATCGTTTGTTCCAGCAACTTCACTGATCAAGAGGCTCTCCTCCACTTCAATCGACGACTGAAGTCAACCTGACAACACGATCAAAGGCAGCAATCGGACCGTGGAAGCAAACTTCTGTGAATGGACTGCAGCAACTGCAGGCAGAGAGTCGCGAGTTTAGACCTCTCCTCCACGGGCCTCCAGTGAAGACTCTCTCCAGTGAAGACTCTCTCCTTACCTAGGCAATCTCTCTTTCCTGGCTTCTCTTGATCTTTGCAACAACAGTTTCTATGGCACGGTTCCAGATAAAAACGTTAATTTATGCCGCCTGAAAGAACTCGTACTCCTGTCGAACCAGTTCGAAGGAAAATTCCTCCTAAGTTTGCGCTGTGCCAAAATCTCGAATTGATGTCACTTGCAGTGAATAGGCTAACGGTGGCATATCGAGAGAATGCGGCGCCTTCCCAAAGTTGCAACAACTGTTTCTTGGCTTCAACGACTTACAGTGTCAAATTCCGAGCTTCCTTGGCAACATATCCAGTGCAGGGCATTGGTTTGCTCATGGCCAATCTCACAGGTTCGATTCCTCTGACACTTTTCAATAGATCGCTCATGAGTGTCAGTTTGACGTATAATGATCTCTCGAGGAGTCTTCCCTCCGATCTTTGCTATGCTGGCCTAACATTCAGAGACTTTTACTGTCTGGAAACCAATTCAGCACGCTAACCCAATGCAAAGAGCTTATCATGCTGTCGTTGTCATTCAATCGTTTTCAGGGAAGCATTCCTTGAGACAATAGACAGCTTGCAAAAGCCGCAGAAGCTCCATCTCGGTACTAACAACTTGACCGGCATGACTCCTCGAACCATCAGTAACATGTCAAGCTTGCACAAATTGTACGTAGGATATAACCGCATCGGAGGTGACACTCCGAGTGAGATTGGCATTTTTGTCAATCTGAATGAAATGAGCCCTCAGGATAACTTGCTATCAGGCAAAGAGCCTCAAGAGGATTTCAATATTATTTCGCTCCAACTGCTTCCTTTGATGGACAATTCCCTCTCCGGAAGCCTTCCCTCAGGTAGTGATCTAAGCCTTCCGAATTTGGAAGAAATCTTTCTAGCAAACAATGGCTTTGCCGAAAACATCCTGAAGCATTTTTCAAATTTTTCGAACCTATTTTTTTCAATGCCGGGATCAATCAACTCAGCGGACTGATACCTATGAGTGTGGGAACTTGAAGAACCTCAGATACTTCACAGTTAAGTCTATCTGCTAACAGGAGAGACTTATGGTTCGGAGCTCGATTTTCTCTCTGATTTGTCTAATTGTCAATCCCCACAGACCTTGGGTTTGGAAGAAAACCGGTCTCGTGACTCCATATCGGAATCTATCAAAAACTTTTCAAGTTCCCTACGAATTTTAGTCCCTCCCAATTGTCAAATACGAGGTGACATTCCCAACCAAATGGGTTTCTTGAAGAGCTTGACTTTCTACAGTTGAGTGATAACGATCTAGATGGCAACATCCTATCATCTATTGGAGGACTAAAAAATCCTGCAAAGGCTGTAACTTGTTAACAACCATCTTGAGGGACCGATCCCTGATGAGATATGCAACTTGACAAGTTTAGGAGTGTTACTGCTCAAGAAAAATAGGATATCAATATCCATCTTGAATTGCATTGGAAACAACTGGTCAGTCTGTGGAGCATTCAAGAGCTCATATTCCTCAATCTGTCACAATTCTTTCAATAGAGATATACCACTTGAGATGGGGAAAATGACAGCTATAAAGAGCATTGATCTTTCTAGGATCGACTTGATGGCGCCATACCAAGTTCCATTCAGGGTATTTGAAGAGCCTTGCTTCTCTCAAGTTGTCAAGGAACTCGTTTCAAGGATTGATACTGCAATCAATTGGTGACCTTAAAGAATTGGTGTTCCTCATCTCTCTTACAACGAGTTATCCAGCACGATACCCAAGTCCCTGGAATGACTTGCATATTTGCAAAAATTGAACTTGTCCTTTACTAAGCTATCAGGAGAGATTCCTAATGGCGGACCATTTGGAAATTTTTAGATTCTCTCGTTCATTGGGAATGAAGTACTTTGTGAAAATGCAATTTTTCACAAACCACCGCGCAAAATAAATGGAAAGAAATCATCAAGGGACAAGCAGCTCCGGTTACTATACACTATGGTGCCAATTGTACCAGCTATACTTTTAGTCTTTGTCATTTGCTTGATTAGAAAACATCAGAATACTGGTAAAAAAGCTTTCCTGCAATTGACCACCCGATGATATCATATCAGGAGCTTTGCTCAGCTACTAACAACTTTGGCGAAAGCAAGTTGCTCGAAGTAGGAAGCTTTAGCTCTGTGTAGAAACGGGCTCTAGCCAACGGGACAGACATTGCGGTCAAATTACTGAATTTCCATATTGAAGGTGCTCTGAAAAGTTTTGCACAGAATGTGAGATTTTCCGCATAATTGGCACCAGAATCTCGTCAAGGTGATCAGCGGCTGCACGAACACTGATCTGAGAGCTCTGGTGCCGCAATACGTACCCAACGGGGGCTTGGGGAAGTGGCTGTACTCCAACAACTACAACTTGGGTCTCCATCAGCGAGTGAAGATAACGGTCGACGTTGCAACAGCACTCGAATATCTCCACCAGGGCCAACCAGAACCCATTGTGCACTGCGATCTGAAGCCTAGCGATGTTCTTATAAATGAGGTCCTGGTTGCACAAATCCGAGACTTTGGAATCGCGAAGATTTTGGCTTAGAACAAGATTGAAACAAGATAAAGTTGTCACTTCCTTGACAAGAAAATAAGGTGGAGAGCTGCTAATAGAAATTGAACATAGCTTTATCTTAGTTTTGTACATAGTAACTTCGTTTCAATGGCTGTGTCTAGACATCTGCAACAAAGTTCCTAATCTTCTTTTGAGCTTTCGGAATCGGATGAAAACGATGGAAAGCACAATGAAATTTTGCAGCGATGAAATTTCACCCAACAATAGTCTAGCTAGGGTCCGACTTCAAAATTTTTTCTCCTCTAATTTCAGAGACTTCTGCTATATTCTCCATAATGGTTAACTGCAGGTTATCCGGGCTAAAAGTTCCTTCCACAAAAGCCACAATTTGAGTGTTGTTGACAGGGGAATCGGGAACTATAAATCTTCTTCGATCGTTGCTGTAAAAACAGGCCTTCCAGAAAGGGCTAGATTCATCAACCTCTGCCCGTAGCCATTTCCCAAAATAAATGTCATTTTCTGGAATAAAATTGCCTTCTTCATAAGGGATCTCTGTGCAATACTTGGCATAATGACCCAGCTTACCGCATGAACAGCAAAAATGGGGCAGTCTTTCCTATTTAAAATCAAGCCAAAGCTTCGTACCTCCACCACTAGCAACGATACCAGATTTTAAAGGAGCATCCAGGTTCATCTCTACTTTCGCTCTTGCTGATAAAAATCCTTCCCGTTCCACTTTCGCATCTAAAACCTTCCCAATCCCCTGAGCAAGTCCGTTCACAACATTTACGCAGTACCATTCAAGGGGCAATCCGCAAATTTGAACCCAAAAGGCACAAGACGCAAATTCATAACGATGGGGAGGTGTATTAGGTTCCCACGATTTAAGCAACACGAGGTGGTTCGCGAAAAACCATGGACCAGATTCTAAAACTCTGTCTCTGTCTCCTTCGGATTTAAACGTAAATGCAAAAAGGGCAGAACCCAGGTGGGCAGAAACCATGTCTTCAATTCTCCAGGCTTTTTTCATCGTATTCACAAAGGCTCGGAAATTCACGGATGGGGTTGAGAACAGTCTCCCAAAGAGAGTGAGACGGCGTTCCTTCGATATATCCCCAGAAACATCTCCATCCATTACCGACCAAAACTTACCTGATCTCTTGCAGAGCATCGGCATCCTCATCCTCTGCCATTCGGAGCAAGCTCTGCGAGAGAGGCAACTGAGGGAACAGACCCAGGGTAAGATGGAAGGAGGTTGATGGTGCTCCCTTGCCACCATGTGAGGTAGGGGAATCTCTTGCCAAGGTGAGAGAGCTTTTATGCGTTCTGACTTCAAAACTCGAAAGCCAACTGATAATTTGGAAAATGACACAAAGGATATTTAAACTTTATTACAACATACAACATGATCCTGAACTTTGGTTTAATATTTAATATGGTGCCTAAATTTTTAAATATTTTCATATAGTCTACAGACTGTATTAAACATTTATCAATAATTCAGGGATCTAATTGAATAAATTAAAATTTTAAGTAACACATTGTACATTTGATCAAAGTTCGAATATCATTAATGCTATTATCGAGAGTTGTTTGATTTGCCAATGTCAAGAAGAATATATCATTTTCAATTGATAATCGACATCTTCTTGGTCCTTGACCAATAGTTCATCAATCTGCTCATGGAAAAGGATTCTCATGACCATATGTACTTCTGCCTCACACATGATCCTGTCTAGGGAAAATGACACAAACAGTCCATGAATTTTGACCCAATGTGCAATTTGGTCCATGAACTTTTAATTTATTCAATGTAGTCCCTGAACTTTAGCCTGATATTCAATTTGGTCCCTGAACTTTTAGTATGTGTTCAATTTAGTCCCTGAACTATTTGAAAGTGTTCAATGTAGTAGAAGGACTACATTGAACACTTTCAAATAGTTCAAGGACTAAATTGAACATGTGCTAAAAGTTCAGGGACCACATTGAACAGATTAAAAGTTAAGGACCAAATTGAACATTAGGCTAAAGTTCAGGACTACATTTATCTTCTTTCATTTGTTGATTAAAATATTATCCCTATTCGATACTCAAATCCATATACCGCCAAATCATTGCATGTGTGTCAGTATTAACTATTATTTAAAAGATAAATCTAACTATAAAAATTTGAGCTAGCAAATGCCCGTCATTATTGATAGTAATCTAACAATAGGTATACTATCAAAAGACATATGTTGCTTTCATTAATTTTTGGAAGGCTAAAATGCTAACCCATACATCTTTTAGTGAAAAAGAGATAAAACTTATATTTTGTCCAAAGAAAAAATTATAAATTTACTTGAAAGAAGCATGACATTTCAAATTTAATCACATGCCACATCGGGACACTTTTTCTTAATGTTAATATGCATAGTTTACTATGGGATTGAAATATAACTATGGACATGCTTGGATGGACTTGTCATTAGTATTCATGACTTTGTCCCCGAAATGGAAAACTATTTTCTTTCAAAAGTTCACTAAAATGATTTTATGCGACTTTAAACAGATTTCAATGTCATTATGTGTAACTTAAAATATTTAAGGTGAATAACATTAAATAAAAGCCCAATCCGAATTAAAGTAAAGGTAAAAAACAATCGTAGACGTTTAACCATTATTTATCCCATTCAAAGCTTTATCACATGAGGGTAGTACATCATCTGTTATATATAAACTTCTAAGATAAATTTAGAAGTATGAAAATAACTTTTGAGAGTTGAAAAATTGTGAAGCAATTCTTATGGTCAAAGTTCTTTCTAGTTATTGTTGACACCTAAATTTTGAGTTTTGGTCTTCTCATTTAATACATGAAAAAATTAGGGATCGAATTCGTCGACAATGATAGAATTTGATCCCTAAACAAAATATCGGTATCGCATAATTTTGCATTATTAGGCATTAGGAGCATTTTCATTTAGGATAAACGTGTCTGCATTCAACAAATTTCATTATAAATAGGCCTGGTTGTGAATTGGATCAAAATTGGCCCATTTGAGCAAGGCCTTATTAAGTATGGTTAATCCACCCTTTCCTCGTGCCTTGGCCGAACTCCCCATGTGCATGGTTCAAAATTAGGAAAGTGAATTTTACATTGCTAAAGCGTTCATGGATTCCTTCATTAGATGAGATATCCCAAATGAATTCTTCAATAATAAGAAATTTTGATAATAATTTTCATATTTTACAGATGCCTGAAAAATCTCGATGGAATTGACAAGCTCCGAAACCATTTCCACTTACAGGATCACCAGTAATGAATATTGTTGATGAGTAGCTCGCTCATCATCGTTTTCTAAAATTGAAATTTTTTTGAATTATCTTATATTTCTAATCCCAATTGTTCAGATTGCCTTTGTCATTCTTAATAATCTTTTGAAAAAAGAAAAACATTATTCAATAGAAAAGGGAAAAATTATCTAAAAAGTCCTAAATCTATTGCACTTTTACCAATTTAGTCATAAACTTTTTAATTGTGCCAATTGAGTCCCAAATTTTTTCACGTTTTGCCAATTAGTCAATTTGACCAATTTTGGCCGAAAATCGCTAACGTGAACGCCGACCGTGCCACATAGGGCGACAGCGTCCATATCAGCAATTTCCGATCAAAATTGGTCGGATGGATTCAACTGGCAAAACGCGAAAATGTTTAGAACTCAATTGACATAATAAAAAAGTTTAAAACTGAATTAACAAAAGTGTAATATGTTTAGGACTTTTTTTGATAATTTTTTCACCAAAAAAAATCAATCGAGGTCCGTGAAATAAGATGACAAAGACTCAGTCTTTAATTGAGGCGACTAAAATAGTATAAATACATGCGAGTGATTGTATTTGTGGACCAAGACAAGTCGGAGTCTACAACGAATTGATGCATAATAATAATAATAAAAAGTAAAGAAAGGAAGAAAAAGGAGCAATTTTCCTGTCCACGTCACTTTTGAACAGCAAGATCGTATAAAACATGTTGGTGAGTCAACGGTCAAAGAGTGAAAAAAGCCAAGAGCATGGAATCCTAAGTTGTCTTCAGCTAGGGTTAGGTGTGTGGTCGTTGTTGGGCTGCCTTTAACGTAGCCTAAAGGTGGTAAATCAATAAAGAACCCATATATTAATTCATATTTAATGATTATGAGTTATAAATAGGTTGACTTTAATTTTAAAAGTAAACCTTAATGGCTTGCCTATTAACTTAATGGGTATTAAATAGGTTACAAATGGGTTACCCAACAAGCTTAAGTGAATAATAAATATGTCATTTTCAATTTTTTTTTATTTTCTGATTTTTAACTTTTAAATTTTTATATTCTTTTTTCTTTTTCTTTTTTTCTTTTTTCTTCTTCCTCGGCCGCGGCTGGCAAGAAGAAAAAAGAAAAAAAAAGGAAAAAGAAAAAGAAAAGAAAATTAATTAAAATATGATTTTTTAAATAAAAAATATTAAGAAAACATTTTCAATTGCATAAAAATGTTTTAACAATATAATTTTTAAAAATAATTAGCAGAAATAAGCTTTCCTAGATTTAGTTAAATGGGTTGGGTCGGGTATGAGTTGGATATAGGTCGGGTCGGGTATGAGTGGAGAAATTTTGCCTTACGATAAATAGATTATAAACGGGTTAAATGGGTCAATTTGGATTTGATCATTTATGACCTGATCTAAACCCGATCCAAACCCAACCTGACCCACCCGTTTAACAGGTCTAACGTAGCCTAATGGACTCGCGCAATTAACGTATGAGTGCATTATTATCTGTTAATTAAAGTAGTAGTTGAAGGTCCATGCCAAAAGAATCACATATTGTCTACATCTATTGACCTGATCTTTTTGTTGGAAACTCTAATTATTTGATTTCTTAATGTAATTATTGAACGGCATATCGGCCATATATGATAAGACAAGACAACGGGACGAGATTAGTGGACTCGTAGGACTTGAGCGACCATTGCTCAATAACATAATTGGAATCGGTGCAAGTTTTTATCGAGACTTG